GGAGGGGGACACAGGAGCCCTGTCGGGAGGACCAGGAGTTTGCAGGGCTCCTGTGCCTCCCCCCAGGGCTCTGAGAGCTCCCTCTCTTTCCGCTGTTTCCAGAGCAGGATGTAGGAAAGACAGAAGCTGGAGGACAAGGGGCACCCCTCAGCCAAGGTGAAACTAGAGATGCTGGCAGGTGGCCCCTGGCTGCTGCAGCCCTGCTGCACGGTTCGCGGTCCTCGGTCCAGGGCCCTCCCTGGGTCCAGCCCATCAGCCTCTCCACAGGCGAAGGGCGGGGCACTGGGAGAGAGGCGGGCGGTTGCCCGGGAGACAAGCAGGACTTAGCCAATCAGCAGGGACCACCCAGCTGTGCGCAGGGCGCGTTGCGCGAGGCGATGCTGCCCCCTGGTGGCGAAATTGGGTGCCACCCACCGAGCCAGGCTGCCACCCTGCTTGCGCCTGGCTCTCCAAGCTGCTCCTGCTCGTCCGCCCGCACAGGGAACCTTGGGACCTTGCAGCCTGAGCTACCGCGTGCAATCTTGACAGAGGCGTTTCCACCACTGGGATCGTCCCCATCCCGGAACGGCTCTCATTGCTGGGGAAACTGAGGCTCGCACACAAGCCACAAGGACCTAGCTAGGGATTTCAACCTTGCGGGGGGCGTTGAGCGGGGAAGAGGTAGGGAGAGATGGGCGGGGGGGCCCGTCAGTCCCTGCCCAGCACCCACGGGACCCCAGCCCCGCCCACCACCTCCTCGCGCCCTCCCTCTCCTGCTTCCCCCTGGCTCTCCCGGACGGGATAGTGATAGAGGCCGCACAAGTCCGCCCTCTCAACAGCCACTCTCTCTGACCAGGTCCTCGGTAAACAGTCTCCGCGAGTACGTAGGCAACAGTACGGGATTTTTTTGTTAAATGTATACACACTGCTCTCGTTTTCTAAGGAAACGTTTCTGTTTTAGAATCATAAGGGAGGTGTAAGAATAGCACAGGGTCCCTGTCCCACCCTGCCCCCAACCCCGACCCCATAGGCTCCGCCCCATTCTCCCCTCCCACCCTCCGATGCTGACATCTTGGGTTAGCTCCGCCAGGAGCTGATGAAACCACGCTGGGCATCGTTACTCCTGCGCCTACCTCGTTGGGGCCCACGGCCTTGGCCCTCTCCTCGGGCTTCTCTGGATGGGCCCCCAGCTCACACTTGCCATGTTCCTGACAGCTTTAAGAGGGACCGGTCACAGTCACGGTCATGTCCTTGTAGAAGGCCCTTAGTGGGGATTGGCCTGGTGCGTTTTGTGCGGTTACACTGGGGTGGGTTTGGGGGCAAGATCACAGAGGACAGGAGCCCCAGTCACTGCCTCAAGTCAGGGGCCCGTGCTGTCACCTGCCTTGTCACAGCGGTGTTGACCTTGGTCACTTTCTGAGGCATGTTAGCCAGGTGTCTCCTGTCCCTTCCTACACTGTCCACTGAAATCACCATGCCCTGGGTCTGGCAGGAGTGGGCTGTTGGGTGCCACACCCCAGAGCGTGGAGCGTCTCCCTGCATCGCCCTCCCACTGGGAGGGGACCCGCCCTCCCACCACTGCTTCGTCTGTCCGGCCACCGGTTTCCACGAGTGAGGACTGGTGAGCGTTTACACTGTCCTTTTACAATCCAGAGCTACTTCATTTTCTCTGTTCCAGCCTGGGCTGGCTGCGCCCCGTGTCCCTTCCACGTCCCCACTGTCCTGCTCCTGTGTTTTCCTTCACCGCCTGGGCCTGCAAGGAGCTTCTCCTGCCTGGTGCCCAAGTGACCGCGTCCCCAGGAGCCCCCGTCCTCCGATGGCAGGTGGAGGTAGAGGCCAAGGCCCTGGGGTGCTGCTTCCAGGCCCTGGGCTACGGCGTGAGGAGGCGTGTGCACCCTAACGGGTGTGGTGTGTGCAGACGGACAGAGGTTTCTATTTGCAGCCTCCTGGGTGACACTCAACATGGTGTCTGCAGCTCGGACCCTCCCCGCCACCATCTGTCACTCACACTCCAACAAGCCTGGCTGCCTCCACTGTCACCTTCCAGGGCCCCAGGACAGTGGCATCTCAGCAGTGAACCTCCCACCCCAGGAAACAGCAGCACCCACCACACACAGGAGGTCGCCCACTAAGCCCCTGCCACCTCCCTGCACATGGCCCCCAAAGCCCCGGGGCCAGGGCCTGTCCCCTCTGCCCATCTGCGCCACAGGCAGGTGGGTCCGTTCCACAGCCCACGCTCCGTCCTGGGGTCCTGCCCGCCTCCCGAGTCACCATCACATCGGTGGGGGGCTGGGCCTGGTAAGTTTGTCCAGTGAATGAATGAGTGAACGGACTAAGTCCCCTCCCCATGACTCCCATTTGCCCCCACAGGCAGCTCTGACCTGCCCTTGGGTTTCCACCTTCGAGGGCACAACCACCTTCCCGCCCCTGCCCCGGGGCCCCAAGCCCTGGAACCCGGGGCCAGAGAAGGCCCCAGACCCACCCCGGGCCCACGTCCCTGGGTGAGGGCCCCTTCATCCCAGAGTAAAGCAGGAAGTGGTGACTTCAGAGCATTTTCTGGTTGATCAGAGCCTTGTACGCCTTCCTCAGAAGGGCCCTGGGACATGGGACTTCGGTCCTTGTGGGAATGGGGAAACTGAGGCCCAGAGAGAACAGAACTTGTACCAAGAAGAAAGGCCAAGCCCACGGTAGGGCTGCAAGGCCCACTCCTGGCGTTTCCATAAAGCCCGGGGCCAGCCATCCCTTCTCAGACCTTCTGATTTAACGGGCCGGGGGGTGGCCCGGTGGTCAGGGTCCCCTAAAGCTCCAGGTGAGTCTCACATCCAGGGAGTTGGTGCCCTTGTGCAGGAAACAGCGCAGGTGGGAAGGGACGGGACAGGATCTGCGTGGGCTTTGCCTCCGCGACACCAGAAGGGGGCAGTGTCGCCTCGTACCTGGGGCACCTGGCGCCAGGGCTTCCGTTCCACTGTCCTTGGGTTCTGTCCTGCCCCGGGAGTGTGCCACCCTGGCCTCGCCCCTGTCCTAGCCAGGGTCAGTCCTTAACACCACTGGGAAGCCCCGAGTTTGGGGGCAGGTGGGACCGTTTGGGCATTAGGGGGCTGGGGACTGAAATCCTCACACGGCCCCTCCTACCTGAGGTCCCCACAGATCCCCTACTTCCACTGGGTCCCTGTCCCTGCAGGTCCTACTGCCCCTCGGGCCCATCAGTGGCGTCCCCTCTTCTGACCTTTGCGTCCTCTGCCCGGTCCCAGGGCCTCTCCCCAAGATGCCCCCATTGGCCACACACACCCCTCCTGCCTGCTGGATCTCAGGGCCAGCCCTTCCCCGGCCCCGGGGCACCTGGCCCTGGCACAGGGCCTGGGAGGGGGGGGGGCGCTCAGCAGCCTCCCACGAGAAGCCCCGCCCCACCCCAGCTCGAAGGTTATGGACTCCACGCCCGGCTGACTCGGCCGTCAGCATTTGCTCCTGCCGCTGAGAAAGCTGTCAAGTTCAGCACCTCCGGTCCAGGGAGGCTGTCCTGGGTGGGCGTCGCCACGGCAACTGAAGGCAGCAGGGCGTTTGAGACCCTGGGGAAGCTCAGCACAGCCCCTTTCCCTGCCCTCCCTGGGCAAGTGCGCCACCCAGGTGTGCTCCCCGGGGGGTCTGGGTCACTGCCCTGCCCCGCCCATAACGGTCCAGGGTCGCTCACCCAGGGCTCTCCACAGGGCTTGTCAGGAGCTCAGGACCCCGTCTTTCCAGCACCAGTACGTGTGTGGGGCGCAGGGGGGTTCAAGTGCCCTCCTGTCCCTGGCCCTCCCCGCCCTGCCTGCTGCCTCCCCGCTGGGCTCGCTGGCTCGCTGGCTCACTCCACAGCAGCCACGCTCAGTGCCGGTGGGGGCCTGCTCAGGGAGCAGGACCACCAGGGGACCCTGGTCCCACGCAGCGCACCCTGCCCCGCAGAGGGTTCGGGCGTGTGGGAGGCAGAATGAAGCCCCTCAACCAGGAGGCGACCCCCAATGCTCCAGGACCCCTGGGGAAGGTACCCAGGGCTGATCCGTGTGAGATTCTACGCCAAGAATGCACAGCAGGCTGGTCCCAGCAGGGCCCGAAGGCCCGGGGGGAGGGGGGCTGCCCCTCCCCCAAAGGCTCCCTCCCGGCCCCCGGGGCTCCCAGGGCCGACCTGGCCCAGGAGGTCCCAGCTGGGTCCTGCTGGGCGAGTCCAGAGCCCAGATGGGACGCAGGGGGACACGAGGCCTCCGAGGCCCGGCCATCAGCACTGGGCTCGGCTGCAGGTCTTAGTGACCGCAGCCGCTCCTGCGGCTCCGGAGCCCTGCTGGCACTTGTCACCCAGCTGTCGGGGGCCCAGAGAGCAGCGCTGACCTGCAGGGGGCAGCCACCACCCGGGGTGGGGAGGCCGTGGGTTAGCCTGCAGACCTGGGTTAACCACGGGAGACCCGAGGGGCCCCTCTGTCCCCACCACTCCCAGACCCAGCTCCTGCTGGGAACCTGGGCGGGGAGGTGCCAGTGTCCTGCATGGAGCAGGCAGGACCGCCTGCCTCCGTGCGTGAGTGTGCACGCGGGCGCCCGTTCCTGGGAAAGGCTGAGGGAGTCCGCACCCCAGCGGCCCGGGGCCTTCCCCGTGGGGGAGGACAGTGTGGGGACACATGGGTATCTGTGCAGGTGTCTGGGGGGCAGTTAGGGGACATCACTTTGTGCCACTGTGAGCCGCCTGCCCATCTGGCCAGCTGGACACTGGGGCCAGGGCTGCCTGGGGCCAGGCAGGCGGCCACGTGAGGGCTGTGCCAGGGCAGATGCCCAGGGGCCTCTGCAGAGGTGGCTGCGTCGGCCCTGGAGCTCAGAGAGGGGCTGGCGGGAGAGCTGCGGGCCACATCGGGCCGGACCGGAAGCAGCCCCAGGTGGCCCACAGTGGGGTCCTGCCGACGGACACGGTCCTCGTGGGGTTGGGGACAGCAAGCACCCCCCCGAGCCCCCTTGCGCTGCCAACCTCCACACCCGAACACGAAACGTCAGCAGAACAAAAGAGCCCCGAAAGGTGATGCTGTATTTTTAAACGCTCGTATTTCGTTTCTCCTCTCGCGGTTTCTCGTTTCCTGTCCACGACTCGCAGACCGCTGCTCGCCGCCCGGCCTGTGGCCAGCACCCTGGACCAGTCGCACCGGGACAGCGTTCACGGCCCGCGTTTCAGGAGGCGGCAGCGGCAGGGACGCGGCCGGAAGGCGGGCTCCCCGTGCTTGCAGCGGGGCCACCAGGCCTGTGCCGGGTCGGGGAGCCCGGGCCCTGCTCCGCCTCCGGTCCCAGCGGGTCACCTTGCGAACACGCTCCTCTGGCTGAAGCAGAGACAGAAGGAGCACCCCCCACCGTCTCATCCAAGTATACATGACGGATAAAATTACATTTGTACAAAAATAGATTTTTTTTTACCTTTCCCGATGCTTTAGACATTTCTCTTATCTCTACTCTCGGTATCTGTCCCCTCTGGAGCGCCAGCTACGCGTCCCCGCTAAGGCTGAGGGTGGGGACCGCCTGAGGCTGTTCGCTCCAAAACATCTTAAAATAGATGCAGCTCCGCACCCCGAGGTCAGTCCTTCCAACCCGATTCACCAAAGGAGGGGCCTTATGCACTTGCTCACGTGAAGCAAATTTATGGGAAAACAAGGGAAAGTCTCCATTTAAAATGAGCAGGACACGCCGGGAGCCGCACGTGTGGCCTGTGGGCGGTGCGTGGCCCCGTGCAGACCCTCCGTGCGGTGCACACGCCTCGCACCACACTCCCGTGTGGGCAGGGCCCGGGCCCCGAGCTCCATGATGGGGACATCAGCGAACTACCCACGGGCACCGCACAGGGGCGGCCCGGCCTGGCCCCCCGCACCAGCCCGAGCCCCCACCCCCGGGTGTGCGGAGACTTGGGAAACCCAGGGCTGGGTTTTCACGGAGACACCTTCTTCCCGGTGACTAAGGGCCGACACGGGGCCACGCTGGTGAACGTCCCAACAGCCCGGCTTCCAAGGGGTGAGGGGTGAGGCGAGCTGGCTTTGCCAACACCTTCCAAACACAGGACTCGGCCACCACCGATCCTCAGCCACGGCCACGGGAGCCCCGTCCGGAGGTCGGCGAGACCCAGGAAGTGTCCAGCCAGGCCAGGACGGGGACCAGCATAGGGTGGCTAACGGGCTGATGTTAGTGCTATCTTTAGAAAATTAAAGATTGTCCCACCAATACAATAATTACAAAAATCACCTTAACAGAGCCAGATTGGTGACACTACAGAAGGTCTCTCTACGGAGTAATGTGCCATCTCCCAGGTCTCACTGGTCCCCACAGAACCGCGGGCAGGGTGACGATGACAGCGGACCGGCGGAGAGGGAAGGACCGCTCCCCGGAGCCTGGACGCTGGTGGGGCGGGGCAGGCCCTGTGTGGCTTGGGGCGCAGGCGGCCCGGGGCCTCCCGCCTTTGTGGGCTGCCAGCAGGGCCGGTGACGGTGACGTTCCCGAGAAGCAGACCCCCAACTGGGGACCCACACCTGGGTTTCCTCTGGAGTCACCCAAAAAGCCCAGGGAGGGGACTGGGCATGGACAGCGGGGTGTGTCTGGCTGCAGAAGGCACCAGGGTGCTGGGGGGCAGTTTAACAGCCCCTCTGCTGGGGGGGCCTGAAGGGAAAGCTCGAGAATGCCCACGTCACTGCCTGTCACAACCGTGCCCCAGAGGCTACCAAGACTTCGGGGACAGTGTGAGAGAGCGGCACGCCCCGGACAGTGCACAGAGGGGCGTGCCCGAGAAGGGGCCGCCTCCCCTGCGAGGCTCACCTCTGCCCTGCCAGGGGCAGCCCGTGCCCTCCGGACACAGACTTTGGGAATGGCAACCCCTCAACACCCGTCCAGAGCTGAAGGCGGGGGCGGCGGGGGGGAGCCAGCACACAGAGCACGCCTCTGGGACGCCGCGGACAGGACGCCACCCCCACATCCTGCCCCTGTTGAGGCCCCCACTGGGCTGGTGGGTGTCAGTCGAGGAGACAGACCAAGGGGAGGGACTGCAGTGCCAGAGGCCAGTTTAACCCGCGGAGGGGGGTGCTGGATGGAACAGGGCACCTCCGACCGGAGCAGGCGTGCCACGGGCTCCTGCCGAAGGCTCCACCCCCTGACCACAGCCGGCCAGCTGTTTCCGAGGGGCATCGAGCCCGGGCACCGGAAGGTGGCACTCAGCAGTTCCAGGTTCCCAGAGTCTGGTAGACAGAGTAGCCCCCCAGAAGGGGGTCTCCCCCAAGAGCCTCAGGCGGCAGCCCCGCAGGGCCTCTGCAAGTGGGCACAGCAGGTGGGACCCAGTCTGCAGAAGCAGCCCACCTCCCCTGGCGCCTGTGGGCCTCCGGGGACCGTCTCTGCCAGGGGAGGGCAGCAGAGCCTCGGGAGCAGGGGCTAGCCTGGGCGCCCGGGGACTGGGAGGGAGGGTCCGAGGCCAGCAGAGGCCGGGCCAGGGCCGTGCGGCGGTCCCCCTCAGTCACATGGAACCCCGGAGGGGCAGAGGGCTCGGATGTCGGAAGAAGCGGAAACAAAGACAGTGGACAGAGAAAACTGAGGTGGGGGGCGACCAGTGTCCCTGCAGCCTCGAGGGGGCCCCGAACCCAGCAGAGCTGTGAGTCATCTTTGGAAAAGGGGGCTGCTGGCCCTCCGCTGTGAGGGAAGAGAAGCCTGCTGGCTCCAGAGCCCCTCGGCTTCCCAGGGAGTGGGGGGGGGTCCTCTGGGACAAAACACCAGCCCCTCACCCATCCCGCAGACCCTGATCGTGGGTTGGGGCCAAGCTGGCGGGGGGCGGGGCACCGCTCCTGACGGGAGGCTGGGAAACTGGGACGTCAGTGACCCACACGAAGCCTCCCTTCCACCTGCGGCTCCAGAGCCCTGGGGACTGGATACTCCCTAGCTGCAGCTCCGGCGACCGGGCCTGTGACCCCGAGGGCCACCCCGGAGGCCAGGGACCGGACAGGCCTGGCTGGGGTCACACCAGTTCTTGCCACTCGGGCTGCCGCCCTGGGAAGCCACTCCCTGCTGGGTCCAAAGACAAGCAGTATTGAAAATAACGAGGGTGGCAACATATCTCTTAGGCTTAGCAGTGACAGGCTGCGCCCCAAAGTCCAAACAGGCCAGGCAGAAGAAGGGCGGGGACGGGCTCCCCGAGGAGAGCAGCTGGCGGCCGGGCGCCGAGGGCCTAAGTCATTTGGTGCGGGGCCTCCAGCATCTCCATGAGGAAGGTGTCAATGGGCGTGTCCCCGATGAGCTTGAAGAAGAAGAGATGCTCCAGGCACTTGAGGCCGATGGAGCGCAGGGCGGGCAGGCGCAGCAGCAGCTTGGCGAACCTGCGGGGACCGGGCGTGAGCGGGGCAGCGGCCCTCCCCTGGCCCTGCTCCGGGCCCAGAGGCCTCCTGGGCACCGGACCGCGTCTCCCACCCGACTCCCCACACCTGCACCAGCCCTGCCTGTGCCGAGCCTTAGAAGAGAAAGGAGGGCCCCTCGGGCAGCGGGGCGGGGCCCGGAGATGGGCCCAGAGTGGGCCCGGAGACCCCGAGAGAAGGCCCAAGGATGGCCGTCTGGGATGAAGGGTCAGTGGCCAGGCGGTGGACAGGCAGGGGCAGGCTGCCAAGGGCTTCATGGGGAAGCTGAGGTGCGTGGGCCGTCTCCATGGGCAATAGGGAGCCACAGCAGGGCTGCACGCAGGGGAGAGAACTGGCGGTCAGCAGGACCACTGGTAGGGAGCTGGGGAGGGTCTGGGCCCAAGCAAGCCCCGCCCCGTGCCCCCACGCCAGGCCAGCCCCCCCGGAACAGCTCTGCTGGAGCCGGACCCCCATCCGGAAGCCCCTCGGGCCTTGCCCCAGGGGGGCAGACACTGGCTTGACCAGCGGGCCAATGTCCCTTCTAAGGATGCCCCGTCCACCCCAGGCCCCTCCATGTGCTGTCCGGGCTGCTCCACTTGGACCCTCGGGGGGCTGTGGGGCCTCACGTTTGCTAATAATGCCTGCACTCGGGGGGCGGAAGCCCTGTGGTTGGCTGCCACGCAACCCGCATTCTCTAAGCAGAGACGCAGCCGCCAGCCTGGATGGGGGCCAGAGCGCGAGCGGTTTCTGCTGAGCTGGCGCGGCGGATGCGGCGGGGAGCCAGGAAAAACAAGCCAGCCCACCGCTGCAGCCCAGTGCGGCGCTCCATCCAGGAAGTTTCACTTTAAACTGAACCAGATGAGCGCCCGGCAGCTGGCCACCGTTAACCGTGTGTGCGCCGGTCTGTGCACACCAGCCAGCGGGCCGGCGGGGGAGGCCGCTGTCCTGGACCCCAGGTGGGAGGTGCCCTTTCCAGGTACGGGGCGCAGTCACTGAGCCGACTCCCTTCTCCTGACACGCACTGGGCCTGGTCAGGCGGGAGAAGCAAGCTCTGCTCTGGGCCCGCTCATCTCTCTGCTCTTCATGTGCTTACGAAGCACCTACTATGCACTGGCGCCCAACCCCACTGGGGGTGAGCGTCAAGGCCCTGCCTCCAGTGGTCCCCTCAGGGGTGGGGGAAGCATGACCTTCTTTGCCCCCTCTACAAAGACAAGCACCTACTGTGTGCCAACAGGGGGCCCTTCTTTCCAGTGGGGCTACAGGAAAGTGCACAAGTGTGTTTGCACTGGGGCTGGGAGAGCACCCGTCCTCACTCGGGCAAAGCCAGGAGGGCACCGCCTTCTCAGCACACAGAAGGGCCTGCAGGGCTGGCCGGTGGCGCGCTGGGCCAGGGCAGGGCTGCACACGAGACCACGAGGCCCCAGCCGGGCAGGAGGGCGGCCCAGCTCACCTCCCCGGCTGCTCTGGGTATTTGTGTTTGCAGTACGCCTCCAGGGACGCGTAGACCTTCTCCCGCAAGGCCTCCACCTCGGCCGGGTTCGAGAGCCCCTTGGAGTCTGCAAGGAAGAAGGGCCGCAGGTCAGCGCCCCTCCCCCAGAAGCTGCGGGGACCCGTGTGGCTCTTCGAAGTGCCCCTCCACGCAGCACCTAAGGCAGGGACAGGCTGGTCCCACGGGACCGAGGGCAGGTCCGCCCATCACTGACACAGTGCGGACTGTCTGGACTCCAGACCCTCGGCACCGCAAGCTCCCGGGAACCCAGGACTCCAGGGCAACGTGGGGCCAGTGGAGGCCTCGCCAGACCACTGGGTGGTCACCCTCGGCAGAGGCTGAGTGTAGCTCATGGAGCCCCACCTCACAGGGAGACCCTTTCCAGGGCTGGGGAGGAGACACGCGGCCCGGGGCCAGGACAGAGGCAGGCCCAGGGCAGCGAGAGCGAGGGAAGGCCGGCCGCACCCGGGTTGAAGAGGACGATGGCGCGCAGGCAGCCCAGCTCCGTCTTGTCCATGTGCATGTCCCGCATTTTGGACACGAGCTCCGTCAGGACCCTGCGGGGGGAGCGGGCAGACACTGAGGACCGCGCCAGGCCGCGCCCCTCGCTGGGCCCCCGGAAATCCATGCAGAACGCAGGGAGGCCGGCGTGGCCCCGGAGGGCAGCCGAGAAGGGCCAGGCGGACCGCAGAACCACCCGCCATGGCCCCGGGCGGCGGCGCTCTCTGCCGGGAGAGGGTCCGCACCGGGGGCTTCATCCCGAAACCTGCAGACTGAGGCAGCGTGGGCAGCCCAGCCAAGGAGAGCAGAGGGCGCAGACCCCAAGAGGCAGGGGGCCCTGCGAGCGCCCTCCCAGCCCCGCCCACTCCTGCAGGCAGAGGCGGGTGTGGCCCACACAGGCCGGGGGTGGGGCGTCGGGGTCCGGGCTGCGAAGACCAGGACGCGCCCACCCCCACGGGCCCGGTGCGACCCAGTCCACAGGACACGCTGCCTCTGCTCCGCTGAAAGCACGTCTTTCCCGCCCACGCACAGGGCTCCCAATGGAACCGCAGCGCGAGCCGGGGCTGCCAGGACCCCGGGGGCCAGACTGGGGAGAGGCTGCGCCTCCGCCGGGCGCTCCCGCTCACCTCACGTTGGAAACCTGCCCCGGCCGAGTGGCCCCCACCTGTCGAAGATGGCGCCCACGCCTGCGCTGTGGGCGCTGTTCCGGTGCACGTGCAGCCCGGTGGCCAGCAGGATCCCGTCCTTCACAGCGATGGACCGGTGGGAGAAGGAGGCGATGAGCAGCTCGTTCCAGCCTGGAGGGGCACAGGCGCTCAGTGGCCGCCGGCTCCCAGCCCCGCGAGCCCACAGCCGCCCCCCTCCGCCAGCAGCCTCCCCCATCACCCCTGCAAAGACAGCACGCGTCAGCACAGAGCCACCCCCGTGGGGACTCAAGCCAGGACCCCAAAGTGGACTCCGTGGAACCCAGCACTCAGCACCCGGGGGCGCCTCCCTCCCAGGGCAGGCTGCTGGTGCCTCGGGGCCCAGGGCAGCTCCCTGCTCTCTCCGGGGCAGCCGCGAACAGCGGCCGCCGGTCTGGGCCCAGTGGTAAACTCTCAAGGTCCGCGAGTACGGCGTGGAAACCCCACACTAGTAAACACGCCTCTGGTCAGGAACAGGTGGGTGGGAGCCGCAGGCCACCTCGGCACCTGCATTAGGTGCCCGAGAAGCCGGAGCGGGCTTTAGGAAGACAACTTCAGGCAGCTCCGCACCCACGCTCCTGTCACCAGTGACACAGAGCCACTGGCAGTCACAGTACGTGCCACGGCCATCCTGTCACAGGCGCTCAGAAGGCTCCTGACAGGCTGTCTCACGGATGACCCCACGCGACCCTGACCGCCGGCCCACTGAGCAGGAACGCGCCCCGTTCCGCAGAGGGGGAGGTGGGGCCCCCAGGGAGGCCGGCCACTCACCCGCCCGCAGCAGGATGACCTGGTCGTCCAGTGGCAGCTCCGAGAAGCGCGGGATGCGCTTGGCCCACTCCACCAGCGTGAAGAGCTGCTTGTCTGCCGCGTGGCAGATGTTGGTGACAGGGTCATTGGGCTGGGGGAGCAGGGGGCCAGTGAGGACACACTCTGCCCAGACCAAGCCCCGCTCTCCCGTGTGGGCCGAGTGTGCCCCCGCAGACGCCCACGTCCCGGTCTCCGGGCCCGTGACAAGGGGGCCTCACATGGCCAAAGGGATACCACGGACGTGATCAAGTTCAAGGGGCTGAGGTGGCAGGTGACCCTGAACGATGGGGGGCCCCGTGTCATCACGGGGTCCTCAGAGAGGGAGGTGGGAGGCCACAAGGGGACGGAGCAGAGGTCAGAGGGAAGTTGGGGCTGTGCCCAAGCTGGAGGAGGGGCCGAGGCGGAGCGTGAGGCCTGCAGTCCTGGGGGAGGCGGGGGGGGGGGTGCGATGCCCCAGTGGGAACCAGCCCCCAGCAGGAACCAGGCCAGCTGACAGACCCACTCAACTCCATGGGGCTGCATTCAGACTCCGGCCTCGGGAAGGTAAGACAGTAAAACCTGTGTCGCTTTAAGCCCTCAGTTCATGGTCATTTGCTAGAACAGCCACAGGAAGACTGTCCAACCCTGAGCCTTCCAGCCCGACCACAGGGGCAGGTGCCAGGTGACCGGCGTCACAGGCCGGGAAGCGAGACGTGGCTGGGGGCTAGGGCCGGTGCGGGACTCCGAGGTGCTGTGCCCAGGCCGGGGGGCACTTCTGCCCCCCAACCCCGTCTCTTCCCCCCAGGCTCAGAGGCGGCACCGAGGAACAGAAGCACAGGCCCTGCCGGAGAGCTCCGGCCAACGGCCCCCTCCCAGGGCCGAGTGGCCCAGACAGGCCCATCCCTGGGAGCAGGCCGGTCTCAAAGGTGGGTGCACAGGTGCCTTCGGACCTGCGGCAGGTGAGGACGGGCAGTGGGGGCATGAGGACAGGCTGGGACTGGCGGGCTCCCGGGGGGGAGGGCCTGGAGGGGCTCCAGCTTCATCGGCTGTGTGGCCCCTAGCACACGCTCAACTCCTCTGAGCCTCGACTGTCACTCCAACAAACGGACCTCCCTGTGCCCGAACACAAAGGACCACCCCTGCCCGGGGGACGGACAGCAGGACCAGCCCCCAGCAGGAACCGGGGGAAGGGGCCCAGCGAGTGCCTGGCGGGGGACCCACCGGGGGCTGCAGCGCCGAGTCAGACGGAGACGGTGGGCGCACGGGGCGGTGGGACCCCAGGAGCTCCCCCACCCCGCCACGCCTCCACCACCTTCCTCCGAAGCCACCGGGAGGGCAGGTGCCAGATGGTTTTCCATGTGACGTCCTTACTTGGCAAAATTAAAGGCTGGCAGCCCTCTATCTCCCCTTTTTTTGAGATTCTGCTCGATGGTGAAGCTCTCACAGCGGGCCTCCCACCCGCCACTGGGGCTGGAGAGGGGGGCCGAGGGTGGGGCCGGGCCGCACTGCCCAGGGTCACGGGGTCACAGCTGGCGCCCCATCCCAGAGTGCAGGAAGTGGGAGCCTCGGCCTGCCAGAGCCTCCTGAGCAGGCAGGAGGGGACGCTCACTCCTAGATGGGGGCGAGGGCCACGCGTGAGCCCCTGCCCACGGGGAGGGGTCGCTGCCCTGACCAAAGGCCAGCAGGCCGTCAGCGGGGGAGGAGCCATGGCCATGTGCTCAGGGCTGTGACGGGAGCAATAAGGGCCAAGACCACCTTGGCAGGGGCCCCTGGAAGTCTGAGGACTCGGCAGGGACAGCAGGCGCAAAGGCCCGGGGCTTGGGGCTGGGGCGGGGGCGGGGAAGGCTGTGCTGGGCCATGGAGCCACGGAGAGTTCGGGGCAGGCCCGGGCAGCCTCAGGGGCGGCACAGAGCTGCAGTCCCAGCCCCAAACCCGTGTGGGAGACAGAGGAAGCCTAGACACGGGGCTGCCCCCAAACCTGCCGCAGGCACGGGACCCTGGCACCCACCCAGACGGTGGGTGGGAGACAACTCGGGGCATGAGGTACCAAGTCCTGTCTTTGATCCCAGGGGTCCGAAAGCCACACACCTCTTCGGCGGCCCAGGGGCTCACGGGGCCCACACTCCCCAAAGCCGCACGGGTCCTGCGACCACTGGGGGCCGAGCGGGCGGGCGGCGCTCACCGAGTTGGGGTTCAGCCCCACGTTGGCCTCCACGTACGTCTCGGTCTTGGGCTCGACGGCCAGCTCGGCCTCCAGGATCTTCTCCACTGGCATGTCCTCGTTGGCGCTGCTGGTGGACTCCACCTCATTCTCGTTCCGGTCCTTGCCCCGCTGCCGCTCCTCCTGCACAGCTGAGACACAGAGCGTGCCCGCCGCTCACCAATCCAGTCGACCGGTGTGCACGCCAGCACCCCCCCAGGCCGAGCACGGCCAGGGCAGACCGGGCCCCAGCTCTCACGGAGCGGGCGGCTCGGCAGGAATCCCAACACGGACAGAGAAGGGATGGGATGGGCCATGGACGCGGGCAAAGCCAGGAAGGCTTCCCGGAGGAAGGGGCAATGCGATCGAAGGAGTGGGAAAAACTAGGGACACGGGTTCAGTCAGAAGCAGCACATGCTGAGGCCAGAGCAGGGACTGGACGGGCGGGGAGCCCAGAGGTGGCCAGGGGCCGGGGGCCCAGAAAGAGACACCAATCGGAAGAGGCAGAAAATAGGGGTTCACTCCAATACTGCTGCCCCAAAGACCCACGAGGCAGAGAAGCCGCACTGGGGGTGCGAAGACCTCGGCCTGCAAGCACACGCAGCTCAAGCCGCCCAAGAGGGGCCAGGACTCCCCCAAAGTCACCTGCAGGCCCCAAACAAGCACAAGGACCCAGAGCTGGGCCGTCCACTCCACCGAGAGCCCCCACGGGACTCCCGGGATTCCCACAGCCGCCTGGGCTGGCTCCCACACCTCCCCACTCCTCTCTGGAGGGGGACCCCAAGGATCTGAAATGTCCAGGAGAGGAGCAGGCAGAGGAGAAGCCTGATACAGGGTGGGAGGGGTTCCGCACAGGGAACCATGACAGCGGGAGCCGGCCACCAGGGAGCCGAGGCTCCTGGGTGCCCCAGATGCCGTGTGAGGCAGCGGCAGCACCGGACAGGGGTCCCCCCCCAGGGCCCACCTGAGCCCTCCCTCCCATGGTCCTGCTGAGCGAGAGCCCCACCCCAGGCCCCCGGGCTCCTCGGCCCCCACCCCACTGTGGCAGCTGGGTAAGGCAGCCTGCAGAGTGCTTCGCGGACAACTCTCTGCACAGGCCCCCGCGGCGCTCAAGCCCAGGCCACAGACCCCTGGGGAGGGCCTACCTCCTGGGGCCACGCCCCCACCCACGGGGCTCCTGGCAGGAGAGGGAGGTTCCTGAGCTGCAGGGCCCCCCCACAGCAGCCCAGCAGCAGGGCAGCTCACCCCGGCAGGAAATGACAAGGCAGGGGGGAGGGGACGGCACTGTCACTGCTGCCCCTGGGGACACGACATTCACCCACTATTCTGCTCTGGGGCAAGAGGGCTCCCTGCTCCTGCTGTGGGTCCCCCAGGCCTGGTGGGGGTCCCACCACAGTGCCCAGGGCTGTTACAGGTCCCGCTAACACCTCCCCACCACCCGGAGCCAAGGGCTTCCCACCTGTCCCCCACCAACAGCTGGGACCCATCTGTGTCCGTCCCTCTGCGGGGCCACGGGGCTCCGAGGCCAGGCCCTGGGTCCTCCCCGCACCGACACACGGCTGTGCAGAGCTGCCCCAGGCAGGGGGAGACTCAAGGACTGGCTGGACGCCGGTGGGCCGAGGAGCCAGCCTCACATCCGAGCGTTTGCGAGCCTGGCTCTTCCAGAAAACCTGACAGCTGGGTGGGCAGCTCACCCTGGCAGGCAGGTGGCAAGGAGCTGGGGGGGTGGAGGGGTGCCAGGTCACCCTCTCAGCCACAACAAACTGGTCACAAGCCAGCAAAGCTGACCAGGGACCCAGAACCCAGGCAGGCCATGTCCTGGAGACCCTGAGGAGGAGGTCCCCAAGGTCCATCCCCTGGACAGAATCCTCAGCCCCCAGAGGCAGGACACAGCTAAGTCACGTGCGGCTTAACCTGACCCCTTCATTTTACCCAACGGGGACACCAAGGCTCAGCGAGCCAGCAGGGCGCGGCTGAGCTCTCTGGACTGTGGACGGCTCAGGGCGGCAGGCTCTGGGTCCCGCAGGGCCCCAGACCCTGCTCTGCCTCTAACCGCGGGGTGGCCCCTGCAAGTCCCTAGCCTCCCTGGTCCCCAGAGTCCTCAGCCGAGAGCAATGGCCTTCAGGCCGGGCCCTGAGGCCCGGCTTGCACACCCACATGCACGCCCACGCCAGAAGCTGCCACTCCTGCACCCCAGTCCCTCGGAGTCTGGAGCCAGGGTGCAGGAAGAAGAGGGAGGGAGGGAGGGAGGGAGGGAGGGAGGGAACAGGGAGAGGCCTTCCTGGGGGAGGAAGCAGAGAGGCGGGGGCAGCAGCAGAGCCTTTCCAGCCTGGGCCAGGGGAACCCCAGTTGGGGGCCAGGTCTCCCCTCTCGGACTGGGAGCCCCCATCAGGGCCTGCCTCCCCACTAGCCCAGGAGGCCCCCCAGCGCTGCACCTCCAGCCGACAGGCCTGGGCTCAGCCTGGCACAGGGCCGGCCTGGTGACATGTCCTGGCCCGGCCTTGGTCCCCCGCTGCCCCAAGGCTGTGCGGCGAGTGTCTGGTGGTGGTCTGCACCAGCAGGCCCTGCCGCCGCCCAGCAGAGGGGCCGTCAGCCTGCAGCGTCCTCTGCTAGCCCAAGGAGGGGGCGTCCCGCCAGCCCCAGCCAGAACCCCCGGGCTCCCCTGTGCTCACCCAGCCCAGTGCCAGCCCCCAGCTGCCCCTCCCACCGTCCACTAGGCTCTGCGGCTGCTGTGAGCCTCAGCTTTGCCACCTGCAACAGGGGTGTGACCGCCTGCCCGAGGAGTCGTGAGCATCAAGACCGTGTCCTGCCCAGGACCGGCCCGGGGCGCCTTCAGCTCATGTACTACATGCTCCCGGCCAAGGGTACTCTGGGTGGGGGGCAGCTGGCCCCCATTCGCCTGGACTGCTACACTGCCCCAGCTCGGGGCTAACAGCGCCACCACGGCCAGGGAGTCCTCCTTGGTTCACCCGGAGCAACAGAGAAGAGGCGCTGTCTCCATTTCCGGGGCTGGGTGCCTAGCACCCAGCTGCAGGCTGCATGTTCAGTGTAGGAGCTGGGGGGGGGGGGCACCATGCCTCCTGGCCCCTCTGGGCCACCAGCTCTGGAAGCCGTGCCGCTCCCTGCAGGCACGGTGCTGAGGCCTCACCGGGCCACAGGCTGTACCTCCCAAGGACAGCCATGGGCTCTGCCTCTCGAGCTCCAGGAGACATGAGAAGCTGCCACCTCGCCGGGAGCCGCATACCCAGGGACCTCGTGGCCCCCCGGGGCCACACAGCACACCCTGCACCAGGCCCACACCACGGTGTCCGGCGTGAGAGAGCTTGAGCCTTGCCCAAGTTCCAGCCTTCAGAACAATACTGTGTTTGCCACCTCCAGAAAGCCCTCCCTGACTGCACCGGCCACACAGGCGAACGGGGCCGGGCACGCACTTCCTCAGTGGCTTCAAGAAACTAGTTTAGCACTGGAAGCCTGAGGCCCAGGCTCAGCCCCACGTGGGCCCTGACAAGCCCTGGACACCCGGGCCTCAGGCCCTCTCCCTGCACGAGAAAGGGGGGCTGAACGTGCATGGAACTCGCACCCCATTGGGAAGGCCCACGGACACACACTGCGTGGTCCCGGGCAGCCCCCGGCTGGGCCCCTGAGCTCGGCGGTGCAAGGACCCACTGTCCCTCGCTGACAGCGGGGCCTCTACCCACGTCACCCTCTCCCTGCAGCCTCGGGGAGGAGGCCCTGCGGAGGTTTCAGTTTCTAAACAAGAAACAACTGGGGCTGGGGCTGAGGAGGAGCAAAAAAAAAGAATGAATTTGCATAAAAACTGCAGCCACCACTAGAGGGCAATCAGGAGCCGCTGGGAGGAGGTGGGACCCAGGCCAGCCAGGCGTGGGCCACCGGAGCAGCCATGGTGAAGGGGACCCCCACCGCATGGGCCCACCCCCCCTCCAGCATGGATGCCGACACTCCGGAGAGAGTCCACTCGAAGTGCCGGAGTCGCCACACCTACCGACAGGGAAACTGAGGCCCAGGCAGGAGGAGGCCTGCCTCCTGCCAGGAGTAAGGGCTGGGACCCAGGTTTGGCTGCAGCACCTGACAACTCCGTGCCCACCAGGGGGAGACCTTCCTGCTGCCTGCCCCCCATGTGCCCCAACGAACGCCAAGTGAGATGGGCTCCCAGGCCCAGGCCAGAGCCCCGCCGCGGGGGTCCCGCAGCTCCTGGGGGCCTGGCTGTGCAGGGGGAGCAGAGTGCAGCTGGACGCCGGTTGTCCAGCAGGCCTGGGGACATCAGATGGCCTCCGCAGTCCCCTGCCCCCGGTCAGCGCCATCTCGAGGGCCTCCTCGGCCGTGCCCTTACAGGACGGCGGGACCCACCGCCCACCTCCAGCCCCTGCCCGCACTGGACCCTGCCTCTGCCTGGCTCCCTGGAGCCGCAGGCTGGACACAGTTGCCACCACCAGAAAGAGGGCTGGAGCAACGCCTGTCCCCTGGGGCTGGCGGCCACTCGTGCACAGGGCCAAGGCTGTGCCCTCCCCGGTCCCAGGGCCTGGTGTGCGGCAGGCACTCAGGAAAGGCTGCCCGAGTGAGATCACGGCCCACAGCGCAGCCTCAGGGAGGGAGCGCCCGTCGCCAGAAGTATTCAAGGGGCCGCTGCCGGGCCTGTCCCCCCCGGTGCCTACCTTCACGCTTCATGCCCATGGCCAGGCACTTCTGGTAGCGGCAGTACTGGCAGCGGTTGCGCTGGCGCTTGTCAATGAGGCAGTCCTTGTTGTCCCGGCAGGTGTAGGTCAGGTCCTTGCGCACCGTCCGCTTGAAGAAGCCCTTGCAACCCTCGCAGCTGTACACGCCGTAGTGTTTGCCTGCGGGGGCGGGGGGCGGCCGTGAGCTCCGGCACCGCCCGGACTGGCGCCCGCTTCGCCCTCGTTGCCCACGGCAGCCACGGGCCCGCCCCACGCCGTGGGCCCCCCCACGAGGCCTACCTGAGGAGCGGTCCCCACAGATGGCGCAGATGTGCTTGGTGAAGGACGCCATGTTCCCCGAGGGGTGGGCGGGGACCTTGAGGACGCCATTGATGCCCAGCGGGGGCTTGATGTCCTCGCTGCTGCTGACGGGGTTCATGGGCGAGTTGAGCTGAAGAGGGGACAGCGGGCTCAGCCCCGGCAGGTGCTGCGGGCCCAGAAGCACGTGCCGGCGCCCCCCACAGCCCTGGATGAGGAGGGCGCTGCCACGCCCCCACTCGGCAGAGATGGAAACTGAGGCCTGCCCACGCCAGGACACGGCCGGGGAACAGCAGGGCCCACCCCCGTGCAGTGCCAGCTGGGTGCCCCCCACCCCCACGCTGGGCCTGGCCGGCAGGAGCTGCCTTGCCCTCGGACGTCCCACAGCCAGCCCAGGCTTGGGGGGGGGGCCCACAAAGCCCTGCCCTCGCCCACCCACAGAAGAGCCACCTTCCCTCACCAGGTGCCCCTTCCACGGGATCGTGCGAGCCCCATGGTCCTCCCAGCGAGCAGGTGCCTTGGGGGCCCCCGGCTCGCTGAGGGACACAAAGTCCTGGTCACAGCGAGGAGGGAGGAGGGCCAGGCCCACGCAGAGGCCACGCTGCCCGGGCCTCGGGGTGCAGGCCGGGCAAGACCTCCGATCTTGTGTCTCCGGGGAGAGGGACCCGGAGACGCCCCTCGGCATCCGCTGAGAGGGACGCCATCCCCGCGCCACACGGCAGCCTGACGCCGCACCAGAGGCAGCGTGGGAAACTCACCGGTCACCCTGGCAACAGCTGCCGAGGCTGCAATGACACAGCAGATCTAGTTCCGCTGTGTCCGCCCCCAGCTCTGCCGTCAGCACCAAGGGCCAGAGGTGCTTCCCGCTGCTCCCCGCCGGCCAGCCGGTCTCCCCGGTGCCGGGAGCCTGGCCAGGCGGCCCGTGGCTCCCCCAGCAACCCCACTTCTGCAAACCCCCAGGAAAGGCGGAAGCCGGATGGTGCAGATGTCTCTGGGGACAGGCAGCGGCTGCAGCTGCTGCCCCCTGGTAGCCCCGGCCCCTCCCGCACACAGGAACCTGCCCCCTTCCTGCCCCTCAGCCCCACTCCCAGCCCCTTTCTCACGGGACAGGACGAGCTTGGAGCCCAGAGTGCCACGCACAGGCAGCAGAAACCCCCCACCCCGCCAACAGCCTTGCACAGGCCTCCCGCCTGGAGCCCTTCTGCCAGCCCCCGCTGCTCCAGGCCCTCCCTCCTCCTCCCAGGGGGGCTGGTGGCTCCGTGAGCACGCCTAACCCCTGCAGGACTCCGGTGGGCTGCGGGGAGGTCGGGAGGCCAGTGGGAGGCGAGGCGTCCCCGGGACCCCCTGCAGAGCAGGTCAGCCTCCTGTGACCTGAGGTCCCCCGTGCACCGTCTGCAGGGGGCAAGGGTGAGTCCCAGGTGACAGGGGACTAAGGGTGCAGCTGAGGGAAGGCGCCCGCTGCGTGCCGAGTGCCGCAGCCTTTGACGGCACAGGCGGGGGGACCCTCCACCGCGTCCCAGACGTGGGCACGGAGACCCGGGGAGGCCAGGGCGGCCGTGGGCACACAGCGCCCAGCGGCAGGGCGGGGCACGAGCTGCGGCCTCGGAGCCAGTGGGCAGTGGCCACTTCGCTGCACAAGGAAAGTGGAGGCCCCGAGAAGGCCTGTTGGGAGCGCCCGGGCACCTGCCCGCACATCTGCACAGCTGGCCGCCGGGGGGCAGAGACGGGAGGGCGGGGGCAGAGCACGGCCTCCGGACCTGCCGCCTCCATCCCCTGTGTGACCTGGGGGAGCCATCGTTCTGAGCCTGAGGTCCCTGGTGTGCAAAACTGGGTGTTGGGTGGGACCCGCTGCCACCTGCCGCAGCTGCATCAGCCTGGCGGCCTCACAGGCCAGAACATGAGCATTTCCTCTTTCTCTGGCTGCCCAAACCATGCCGGGTAGGAAGGGGGCCACCTGCCCTGTCTCCCAGACTCCCACGCACAGGCCTGGGGACTGGAGCCTGCTCCAGGTAAACTGAGGCAGGGCTGCAGCAGGGAGGACAGACAGGCAGGTCAGCCTCGTCAGCCCCAGGGCCGCACTGACTCCCAGGCCGGCGCCCCCCTCCTGGCTGCCCGTGCCTTATGGGAGACAAGAGCTGGGCCACTCTGCTCCTCAACCGCCTGAGTCCCCACACGGCCACCAGCGCAAGGCTACTTGGGCCGGTGGCCACCCTAACCCTCTCCTCAGCTGCTGACCCACAGCCCCTGGAATGGAGCAGGCCTGACCGCCTGCAGGGACGCAGCCCTGCACCCCATCTCCTGAGAGACCCGGGGCACCCCCAGCCCGTGGCCAGAGGCTGGAGGCTCCACGGTGTGGCTGGGGTGGCCCGCCCCATTTCCCCTTTCATATCCTTGGCACTGATTTCGGTTCCCGCCGGAGCCCAGGGCACTTACTGAAACCACCACCCTCCGCCCAGTGCCCCCACCCGGTCCCCTGCCCGTCCCTCTCGGCCTCTTGTCCACACCCACCACGCCCTTCCTTCCAAGGGCATGGCAGGACCCACCGCCAGCCCACGTGGGGGTGGCCCTCACCCGTGGCCAACTGGACAGGGAGGCTCCAGGCCCCACGAGTAGGCAGGCCCCGGGCTGCTGTGCGCACACTCGGCCACCTGTGCACACCAAGGCGCCAAGGCCTCATGGCCACAATGCCCAGAGCAAGGAGCAGGCGGGCCCGGCCACCCCGCTGGGCCTGTGCAGGCCCTGCACCAGGGAGGGGCTGCTGGCTGGCGAGTCTGGACTCCGAGGCGCCCACGCAGGCCCAGCGCTGCGGGCGAGCTCCGCGGTTTGGCGGGGACACTCCATGGGCCCCGCATGGATGAAGCTCCCGGACGGAGGGAGACGTGTGGGGCAGCCACAGTGCCGGGGCAGGGTCTGGCTCTGCCCAGACGCCCAGACGCCAACCGCCCTGCCAGGCAGCGTCCCGCAGGGCAGACGCAGGGGCGGCCCTCCTGGCCGGCAGAGCTCAGCGGAGCACCAGACCCTCAGCAGAGCGACAGCAGGAGTCAGGGGACCTTGCTGGCTTCAGCAGCTCTGACTTCAAGGTTGTGGCTTTGCAGCCGGGGGTGGGGTCGGGGGTGGGGGGACACGCGCCCTCCTGGATCTCCTCCCCCACCCCCGTGAAGATGGGGAGCCCCAGGTTTCCAAGACGGGCTGCGGGCTGCGAAAGCCAGGAAGTCAAACTCCGCTGGCAGGGGGCTGGGCACCAGGCCAGAAGGCAGAGGGCGAGCACAGGCGCCGGCCACGCAGACCGAGTGCGGCCCCTGTGTGGGGCGGCCCGGCGGCTGAGCGGCGGTGAGCATCCGGGGCACAGCCGCCCCGCCCCGCCCCGCCCCACCCAGTGCCCAGTGGCAGGCCCTGGCCCTCCGCACTCCGGCCACCTGCACTCAGCACACACCCGTGTGAGCCGGGGCCCCACCGGGTGCAGAGAGCAGCAGGGAGCAGAGCTGAGCCTGAATCTCCCCGACCTGGCGCCACCCCACCCCTGCCCCTGACGCTAGGCGACCTAACAGTGCCGGGGCACCGGGCACCCAGGGTCCGAGGACATCCCTACCACCCTCGGGCGGGCACCCTAGGGCCCAGTTCCCCTATGGCCCCACTGTGGCCTCTGCTCGGGCCACCCAGTGCAGGTGGCAATCTGTGACCAGCAAGAAGCTCACAGGGCTCGGAGAGCCGGCAAACGCCCACCTCTGCCCGGGTCCCGGTCTTCGCCTGCCCTTTCTCTGTGCACACTGTGCAGCCAGCAAGAGGGGGTGGGGCGGCCACACTAAAAATAGCCCAGCCAGGCCCGGGAAGGCGGCCGGGCCCCCTCGTGCCAGCACCTCGGGCCCTCTGCCTACTGCTGGAAGGCCAGGGCACAAGAGGGGCCCAGAGGCCTGCACTGACGCCTGAGCCCTTGGCACCCCGCCGCCAGGGGCAGGGGCGCGACAGGGTCACCCTGGAAGAGCCGGTGAGACTCCCCACCCCAGCCCTCAGAGGCCTGCAGGCGGACAGTGGGCTGGCTCCACACCGCAACGGTGCCCCCGCCCTCCTGGGCCAGGACGGGGGGCGGCCGCCCGGAGGCGGTGGGGCTCCACAGGGCGGCACACTCTGTGCCCACCCCTGGCGGCTGGCCCGGCAGGCCCCATGGTGGCCGGGCACTGAAACCCCAGCACCAGACCGTCCTCCGTGGGGGTCTGTCAGCTGAACCGGGACTGGGGTGCCGCCCCCCTCAGGATGGACAGCCGGCCCCCCAGAGGGCGTGCCCGCCAGGGAGCAGACTCGGCCACAGCCCGGCTCACACTCGGGCCACGGCCGCCTCTCCAGGCTCTGCTTCCAGAGACAAGGGGAGGACATGACACCGCCTGCCTCCACGGGGGGTCCCCGTGGTGACACAGACACGCTGCAGATGGCGCCCAGGCCCCACCCAGCCCCTACTTACCTGGGGGCTGCTGGTGCCAAAGCCCAGGGCGGGCGTGGTGGGCACAGACATGGAGTGGGGACCCATGGGGGGGCTGATGACCGAGAAGGGCGGGCCCATGCCGTTGATGGGGGAGCTCAGGGTGCCGATGGGAGAGTGCAGCTGTCCCGGGGAGCCCAGCGAGGAGCCGAGGCCGGGCCCCAGGGAGGGGTGCAGCGACGGGGCGGCCATGGACCCACGCCCCGTGGGAGGGCTGAGGGACGAGGAGTTCACCTGGGTGGAGAAGTCTGCAAGACAGGAACGCAGGGCAGGGCGGTCAGGAGCCCGCATCAGGCTGGTCTGCCGCACCCCCGCCCCAGGCCGGAACCCTCTGGAGGCCACAGAACAGGGCCGGCCCGCCCCGGTAGCTCCCGAGACGCAGGCCAGGCCGGCAGCCGCCCGAACGCCCCCCGAGGCCCCCAGGCCTGGCCACGCAGAGAGCCCGGTGGCCCAGAGTCCCGGCCCCTCTGCCCATGGATTCAGGGGCTGGAGGTGAAGGAGTGGGGAGGTCTTAAACGAAGGCAGGCGGACATTTCCACAGCACAACCAAGTCCCTGCTCCCAGTGCAGACACCGGGACGCTGCAGACGCGTGGAGGGAGGGCTGTCCCCGCAGTTCACAGCAAGGGGACCGGGGACCCGTGTTCTCCCTCACACTTGCCCTGGCAGGGGGTGGCCAGCACCGAAGGGGGGGTGGGCATCCCCTCTCCCAGGTCTGTGGCCTTAACTGTCAGGCCACACTGTTTGGGCCTTCGGACCCCCAGACCCTCGGACTCTCGAGCCCGGGAGAGGCGCAGGCTTCTGGCGTGCCAGGGCCGGGAGGCCTGCAGCCCGGGGCCGGGAGCTTTCGGGTGGGCCTGGTGCAGGGGCCCACCCGGCTGTGTCAGGCAGCCCGCAGAGGTCGTGGGGAGGGGCTGGGCCCTCCCCCACCCCAGCCTTTCATCTTAGGGATTTCAAAGCCCCCACAAGCCAGAGAGCGAGCGTTAGACTCCCCCTGCACCCCACCCCTGAGGGCTCAGCAGGCAGAGCCCCCCCCAGCAGAGCGCCCTCAGCAGGTGAACCAGTGGCCTGTGGCCCATGCAGGCCGCTGGGCAGGAGCCTGGGGGGCGGGATCTGGACAAGCAAGTCCTCCCCGGGCCTCAGCCTTCCCACTGCGGAGGGTCTCTCGGGGCCCTCAACCAGGCCTGTAGCCGCCACACCTGCATCTGAGGAGTCTAGCGCAGCCCCGGCCCACCTGTACCCCAGGTGGGGGACACAGACACTCCGGGTTGGGGCACACACCCCCTGGCTGCTCCCCTCACAGCCACAGAGCCAGTCGACGGCCCTGGGAAGATGCTGACGCAACTCCCCAAACCTCAGAGCAGCCGTGCGGGTGCAGGGCCTGAGCCTCGGGCCCAGGGCGGGAAGGGCCCTTCTCCAGCCTCGTCCCCACGCTTCTCGTTGGCACCGGGCACCTGTGCGCACCCAGGCTCCGGGGACACACAGTGTCCTGCTTCCAGACCCCATTCCCAACCAACAGGCGCCCCTCCAGCCAAAGCCCCAGCTCTCCTCCGGGGGCCCCTCTCCGCAGGGCGGCCCCCCAGGAACACGAGGGGCTCTGCCACCCCGGCCGCACCCCCTCCTCCAGCAGCCCCCTGGCAGCCACCTTCAGGCCAGGGCTGGGGCCTGCCTGCCACGGAGCCCCGTCCAACCTGCCAGCACAGAAGCCTCATCCGATCTGTCCAACACCCTCACCATCCACAAAACTGCCCGTAAACTGAGTCGACAGGGAGACCGAAGGAACTCTGGAGCCAGGCAGGGAAACTGAGGCACTGGGAAGGCTCACACCTAGAAATCGGCAGCTGCCCCCTGGTCAGGCAACCACTGTCTCCTCCCAGGCCCGTGCCGCCGGACCCCTGGAGTGCCCACCTCACCCCTGAGGGCCCCCCCCAGCCGGCCCCGCCCCGGCCCGACTGCCCGCCTCCTGCCTGCACAGACAGGCGGGCCCCTCTGCAGGCACAGCCGGGCTGGCCAGGGCTGGCCCTCCGACCACGGGCTCCAGAGCACCCTGCACACGCTGAGGGGGCGACAAGACGGACTTTGCAACAAACCCACTCCACAGACGTCACCAGAGCCCAAGCTGATAGGGGCAGAGGCAACCCCAGGGGTTTCTGGGAAGAGGCTGGACCTGGTGGAGTGGGTGTTGCGAGGTGGGGACGGTGCCCCCACCCCCGGAGCACATGTGTCTGGAAGCCCGAGGGCCCGGCTGCCCCCGCCTGGCTCCTTCCCAGCCTGTGGGATCGAGATGGGCCAAGAGGGAGCAGTCAGTCCGGGTTCTCGCAGCTGCCCCACCTCTCTCCACCCTCTGAGGGGGGGCCCGGGGTGGGGGTGGGTGGGTCTGCAGCAGAGCTCAGGGCTGCAGTGCCGCGGGAAGGGGGGGGCAGCCGAGGGAGGGGCCTCCCAGACTCAGTGCAAGGGCCTGAGCTGCCTGTTTGCTGCTCCAGGGCAGGAAGGGGAGGGAGCAGGAGAAAGCTGGGCCGGGAGGAAGGAGGGAGGGCGGCGACTGCCAGTGGCCAGGCTGCACCCCAAAGCCCCCCAGCCCCTCCAAGGCACCATCCACGCCCAGTTCGAGTCTCAGCCATGAGGGGAGAGCCAAAGAGACGGAGGAGAAGCTGGGCGGGAGAGCAGAGCCGGCTCAGCGAGGGGCTCTGGGAGAAGGAGGGGACTCTGGGGGCTGCCCACCCCTGCAGGGGGGCCAACTCCGCGGGTGCACCCCCACCCTTTACATCCCAGGGTCAAGGGTGCAGAAATTGCTCCAGACAGGCCTCCCGTGAGCCCCTGGGGGCCCCGCAGTCCGGACAGGACGGCCCACCCCCCAGGGCCTGCCCTGCAGGGCCCTGCCGCCCCAGTCCCGCCCGGGGGCTTCCTGTTTATGTAGACGGGTCACACAGACATTCTCCCAGCCTGGGTGACAATGAGCAGGGTGTGTTTTCTGGAGTCTTCTGGAGAGAGACGCTCGAGCTCCGGAGGGAATGTTGGAAAAGGCACAAGCACCCGACAGCCAGGCCCGGTGTCCACGCGCCGCAGACCGTGCCCCACCCTCCCCTGACCCTGCTGTGGACAAGCAGGCCTGGCAGGAAGGCCAGTCGCACGGGGCCTGGCGTGGGGCTGGTCCCCACACGCTCGTCTGCCCCTCGGCTGGGTGAGGCTGCAGGGCCCCAGGCCCGATGCCGGGACCAGCTGACACCCAGCCCTCCCCGCCCAAGAGGGGTAGAAGGACCTCAGGCAGGGGCACAATCCAACTGCCAAATCCGGGCCCCTCGGAGCCTGGGCCTCAACGGGCCCCGAGCCCCAGCACCTCACACCCTGCACACCTGCCACACCCCCGAGACTGTAGGCCATTGGTGGGACTTGGGGCCAGGAGGCCAGAGATGGGCCCTGTCCAAGCAGAGGGGTGCCCTGGCCACCCTGACATGGCAACAGGACCTCCCAGAGCTGCTGGATTAGTTCCGGGAAGGCAGCATGGAAGAGGCGGCAGGCCGGTCTTTCTTGGCACTAAAAGTATCTCGGGCCATGAAATTGCCTCCAAGATGCAAAATACCTGGAGACCGGAAAAGGAAGCAAGGAGGCAAAGACAGAAGGGCCTGGGACGGTCAGCGCCCTGAGCAGGCGCGGGCGCGCTCCCCGGCTGGAGGGCAAGCGCTGCCCGTAGCGGAGCTGAAGCACAGAACGTTCTCGCGGTCACTGAGAACGGCTCTGCCGTTTTCCCAGTGGTGAGTTCCCCGTGGCAGGGGCATGCCCGCGGCAACTACAGCCACCTCTCGGGTCGGGCCAGCGGAGCAGGTGGCCCCAAGGTCCCTTTGAAAGGGAAGGGGCATGCCCACTGACCTGAACGCCTGAGCTGTGTGGCTCCCCCCAGAATGCCCCCCGGCCCCCGGGCCCTCCCAGACCCCATGGCAGGAAGCTGGGGAACCCCCACCCGCTCCCTTCCGGCCTCTGCCTGGCAAGCGGGGGAGGAGGAGTGGCAGGAAATGCCAGCCTCATGCAGCCAAAAGCAGTGGGGGTGAGCCCGAGACTCAGCCCCTCCGGGGCAGGCAGGGAACCCCCCGTTCTTGGAAAGGGGCTCTCAGCGCTCCCCCAAGCCCTTCTCATTGAGCAGGAGCGGGAGGGCAGTGGGGTCTGAACAGCACCAGCAGGGCAGAAAAGGGCACAGCGCCTCGGATCAGGGGCGGGACGGGGGTCCCGTGAGCCTTCAAAGAGGGCACGAGGGGGGGCACAGAGGTGGAAAGGGGTGCCCAGGCAGGGGCGGGCGCACGGGGGTCAGGAGACCCCCGCAGTGAGCCTGCACCCAAGAGACGAGGGCAGACCCGAATGCAAGGCTGGTCCCCGCACCTCTGCACACGGCGCCCCCCCTGGTGCCACCCCCATCACGGAAACCCTGCCGCGAGGCACTTCCCGGGACACCCACCGCCTGCCCCCACCTTCCGGAAGGACTGCTTCCCCTGCCGCCCAGAGGAGGGAGAAGTGGCGGCCCAGCAGGGACTGCGGTGGGACCACGGCACGTCAGGGCTCAGGGAAGCTGAGTGTGGTTGGCGCAGAGGGGGGCCAGCAGCCCCACTGCCCCGAGGGGCCTTCAGAACTGGGGTGGGGGCGGACGTGCCCCCATGCGCGGTGCCGACCCTGGTAAGGATGGGCTCCGAGCCACGTCTCGTCGGGGGCCCCTACTCCCTGGCCTCAGGGTCCCCTCCTGCAAAATGGGCACACACCCCCAAAGGCTGCCAGCTGGCCCAGGCGCCGCCACCCCAGCAGGTGGACTTCCACCTGTGCTGAGCACCCACCCCCACTGCCCACGGAAGGCAGGCCAGCCCGGGGCCTGCCCTCTGCAGCCCCGCAGCCCGGCCCACCCATGGCCTCCGGGCCAGTGTCAGGCTGCGGCTCAAGTGGCTCAGCTGAAATTTCAGCTCCTCCAGGGTCACCCTGCCCTTTGCCCCATCGATGGCCCCGAACCCCCAAGGGCCAGGGGCCCTCAAGCAAGCTCAGCTGGGGGCAGTCGGGCAGCCAGCTGAGCCAGGACCCATGGGAGTCCAGGGTGACCCAGACCCACTCTGGTCCCAGCGGAGAGAGTTGGGGGTATCGGGGGACCAAGACCCGCCTTCCTTCCTCCCGCCCCCCACGTGCCCACGGGAAGTGGCTCTAAGGAATTTCAGCCCCCGGACGCCCCACAGGGGCTCCCCGCCACCGGCTCCACAGAGACCACCAGCTGGCCTCTCC